CCCTCTGCCCACCCCGCGGATCCGATCGCTCGTTCTTCCTCGATCGGATGTACGGGCCTCTCGAATCCTCTCGCTCTCGCGCGACCCCCTCTTCCCGCTCCTACCATTTGCCGACAACGATCCTCCGGGACCGCTCCCCCCCCGGGCTTCCAACCATCGTCCTAACCGAGGTGGCCCTCTCGGTATAAACGCGACACATACAGGCGGCTATCTCGACTATTAATATATAAAAGGGGTTCCTCGACACTCGCCGCCCGGTAATTGTGTCCGCGCGGCCCGCACAGCCCGGTGCTCTCTCGACGATTTAGATTTCCACACCGGCCTAAACCCTTTCTCGCCTTGTTTCTCTCACTCTCTCTTTCTCTCTCTCTCTCTCTCTCTCTCTCTTTCTTTTTCACTGACCTCTCTCAGTCGTCTGGTCCCAGTGATCGTAAAGACGATTGAGTCTGCCCGAAGATATACATCTCCTTCCCCGATAGAGATGTGTCACTTTAGTTTCTAAAAAATGAAAAAACGGAATATAAACTTTAAAAATAATATTATCAAAATTACAATGGAATAATATGTTATCGCAATAGATCAGCAATGGTAAAATAATTTTAAAAATTTAGATATTCTTTTCGGAAATGAACGAACAGCTTTTCTCCCCTTCTTATTCTCTCATTTATATGTAAGAGAAAGATTTTATCGATTTCTTATTTTTTCGAATACACGTTCTCTTTCTGCTCAAAAACGTTTATCAAAGGAGTGATGCTTTAAGAGCGCAAGGGTTTACATCAATCATGATCGAACGGGGTCGGAAGGAACATCTTGTCGCTTCATTTGAATAAGAGCACTCAGGGCATCAGGGCATCAGGGTAAGATAGTCGTATCACATCCGCGTGCTCAAATCAGACTATAGCGGATGCTATTGAGGCAGATCCGCGGAGCACAGGATATTATCACACTAAATCTCGCATTTGTATATTTAAGCACGGCATTAAAGTGGGAAGGTGTAGTGTAGTAGAAAAATATATCCTGTGATCTTTTTTTTTGAATAGCATTAAGAGAACTTTGACGTACACATTTTCCACAAATTAATTTTTATCCCCTTTTAAATAGAATTAAAAATTCTTCTAATGTATGTTATAATTCTTGATAAAATTATAAAATATTTGTAATACTAAAAGATAGTTAGAGACAGGCCAAACGCATTTAGAAATGATTGTTTGTTAAATTGTTGTAATTAAATTGACATAAAACAGACGTTTTTATTTTTATCATTAAGAAGGCATTATTTGATGTATCAAATCTGGTGCTATTTATATTATTAGAATAAGAGCTATTGTGTAGCGATAATATGCCGAGAATATTTCTGTAACATCTCTTGTAGTATATTATTTCTTATATATTTTCAGCATATATTAAACTCATTATTAATATCTTGTTTATTTGTCGAATGTGAAATTTATAAGTGTAGCCTGAAAGAAACAACGCTGTGTCCACGTGTTACAATATTTTATTGCTATATATATAGCGTATCTATTTGTAACTATCTCGTATTTAAGTTTCTTCCACGAATACATAAAGAGCTTACAAATGCCGGATACCGACAGAATACGAATATTAGTTAAAATGCAAAATATTTTTGTTAATTATAGATATCAACAAATCCTTTTTCATAATTAAAGTATACATAATAACGGAGTGCGGAGTTTACGATTTCATATAGAAAAGTGAAAAAAAAATTAAAAAAATTACAGTTTTGTTATCGGCTTCTGCGGTCAACATTTACTTAATATAAAAAATTTGTAATCTGCACATGCCTAACAAGTGGACTACGCACTCGGCATTTTATCAAAGAGTATCAGTGAACTTTGAGAAGTGAGTTTAGAAGCTTTATAAAAAAGATTTTACTATGCAAAATTTTGCACACCGAAATGTTTTTTACTAGGCTTCTAAATACATTTTTAAACGTTCACTTATATTCTTTTATGCATTTCCGAGTGGAGAGGTATCTTATTTTGCATGTACACATTGCAAAACTTTTATATTAAGCAAATATATAATTATTATGGCCGGTAAAACAGGACGGTCCGGCATCCTCTTAAGCAGAAATTGGATGGATCAGATACGTCCAGAGTTAATAAATCTAAACATCTCGAGATTCATGAATTTGATTGCGCGAAAAGCGCACACTCTTTTAGGTTTTTCAAATATGAAATAAATAATTAATTTATGCGAGTTAAAGTAAAAATTTATTCTGTAGAATTAAAATATTTATTTTCATGAATTTTTGTGTACAGTCACTATAAAAATTTTGTAACGCTTAAATAATTAATTATTAATTTTATATTTTGAAAGGCTAAAAGCTTTTTTGCGCAATGACAAATTCATGGATCTCGAAATGTATTATTAGATTTATATATATATTCACTTTCTCTCTTTCTCTCTCTTTTGATCTAGTCCACTTAATTTTCTTCTTAATAAAATCAAATGTAATATTTGTTTATACTTCTGTAGCATTTATACAACATGGCAATAAAAAGATATATTTACGCTGTCATTATTTTTATACATATAAATCCAATTTATTAAAAGAATTTCGTTAAATTCTTTGCGATCTTGACTTCTAATAAAAATTGTAAATTCTATTGAATTCTTGATAATGTGTATAATATGAAGCACTGAGGAAACATAAATTTTATAAAACATAAATATCTTGCAATTTTCAGATCGGGAAAGATTTTAAAATAAGTAATAAGCGGAATCGATCAATTACAATCGAAAGAAGGTAAATTAAGTTAATAGAAAAAAAAAAAATTCAAATGTAATTGATAAATTCGTGTGCTGCTCAAATCTGATCTAGAACGCAAGGTGCAATGGTTCAGAGATGCAGACTGATTGTCATGGCAACAAATAAAATGGCAGTGTCCAGAGTACGCACGAGTCGCACGTCGGTGTAATATATGCGCGATTGTGTAATTTTGCGTCACAAAAAGCAAGCTATATATTTGGATTTATTCGTAATGTCGGAATGTATCGAATCGAGCTGCAGTCATTCTAGCAGAGATGCGTCGTGCGATATTAAACCGAGGCACGTGAGGCGCTTGAAATTCGGAAAATCGATCCTCAAGCTTGACGCCGCGGAGCAGGTTAGTTCCAATTCAAATCGCATCCTCGTGATTGATCAGAATGTGGCTCACATACCGTGCACGGAGAAGAGGGATTACGTGCGCATGTGGCTCGAGACTCAAGGGAACGACGTGATATCGAGCGACGATCTGTCCCAATCATCCCCCGTTCTTGGGACATCGGCCACTAAGACCTCCAAGAAATCGCCGGTACTCGCTGGTAGCAGGAAACGACCTAGAAAAAAGATCGGTATAAATAGACCCGCTACAGTGAAAAAGGTGGACAATTCCCAGGAGAACGCAGGGCACTCTGTAGACTGTAGACTGCAATCTAAACTAGATTATAAAAATGAAGAGAGAAACGAAAATCAACAGGAAGGTTTAAGCGAGACCCATTGCACACCACCTTGCGTAGAGAAGGTTGCTGATGAGATATCTCCTGTTCTTAATATACATTATAAGGAAAAGCGAAGAAAATTACAGCATGAACCAGAGGATGGCAATTCTCCAAAATGTTTAAAGTTTCACAATAATAAAGTCACAAGTACAAATATAAATCCAGTAATAGAACTTGATAATAATCATAGTATTCTGAGAGAGATATCTTTGGATTATGATAAGTTGGAAGAGAATGTTAAGACAGTTTCCTTCTTAAGTGAAGCAAAAAAAAGTTCAGTAGAATGTAGACAGGTATTTCTATCACTGACACACGATAGATTGAGCTTTGAAGACAGTTCAAGTAATAATACTGATAAGAAAATTCCAAATATAGAAATAGATACAAGTGATGATAGCAAAGATGACGAATGTAATGAACTTTCCAACACACAAAGCAGTAGCAACAATAATCTGAGCAATTTCATAGAGGAGGCTGATACACAAGAAACTGCAAAGACATCTCAGCTTTCGATACCAAATGAATCCTGGATTCCTTCGAGACAATCATTTACATTCTTACAATTAACTGCCAATGACTTGGACAAAACTAATTGTTCAGAAGCTGAAACGATACATAATGAAAATACACCACTGTCTGCAAAGATCTCTCAGATACCATCTTTTAAAACGACCCAAAAGACAGATAATAAGTCAATTCAAACCGATGCTATTATTAGCACAATAACTACTCCATCGAAGAAGTCTCCAGACAAAAGTATATATGCGCATCTTCTAGATTCTGGAAAAAAACGTCGCAGATTTAAAAAGTGAGTATAGAGAACATGCAGTTTACACAATAAACACGATTTCTATTATTATTGCATTCTTGTTTCAGAGGAAGCATGGTTGCAAAGCTGCAGTCTTTGATTAATACGCAAGTATCCAGCATTCGTATATGGCGTCATCGAATGAACAAGGAGCACAATGCTGCATCAGCACAGTTCATCAGCGTATTTGTACGCAACTGTACAAAACAATTTGGCAATCAATTTCTGGAAGGCACTTTGATCGAGGATTCTTTTAATCTCTTGCAATGTGACATAGAAATTGAAGAAGCGGAATCGCATAATGTTCAAGCACAACCAAAGAAACTTTTGCATAGGAGTATAACAATTATGCTAGTCTGTGATATTGTCGGTACATTAAAAATGATGTCGGAAGTAGTGATAAATGTCTATCCACCTTGGAACATTTTAGATAAGCTCAATCTTACCTTGGAAGCAACATACATAAGTATAAACGAAAATTGCGAAGTACCTGATATTATTAGAAATAAGGACAACTCGCATAAACGTAAGAAACGAATTGTCAAAGAGTTTAACTGCCCCTGCATAGAAGAAGGAAGAGAATTACCATTCTGTGCGAGAAAACCTAGCAGCGATAAACCTGATGTGATGCAACAAATATTTGATTTCTAATGGTATATTTCTTATATATTTGGAAAAGTATATGTTATATATCGAAGATAGTTCCGGTGTTTATAGAGCACAGTTAAGATGTTATAATAATTGTTTATATTTCTTAAACATATGGCTGCTGTTATCTATAAGTATCAGTGAACTTTGAGAAGTGAGTTTAGAAGCTTTATAAAAAAGATTTTACTATGCAAAATTTTGCACACCGAAATGTTTTTTACTAGGCTTCTAAATACATTTTTAAACGTTCACTTATATTCTTTTATGCATTTCCGAGTGGAGAGGTATCTTATTTTGCATGTACACATTGCAAAACTTTTATATTAAGCAAATATATAATTATTATGGCCGGTAAAACAGGACGGTCCGGCATCCTCTTAAGCAGAAATTGGATGGATCAGATACGTCCAGAGTTAATAAATCTAAACATCTCGAGATTCATGAATTTGATTGCGCGAAAAGCGCACACTCTTTTAGGTTTTTCAAATATGAAATAAATAATTAATTTATGCGAGTTAAAGTAAAAATTTATTCTGTAGAATTAAAATATTTATTTTCATGAATTTTTGTGTACAGTCACTATAAAAATTTTGTAACGCTTAAATAATTAATTATTAATTTTATATTTTGAAAGGCTAAAAGCTTTTTTGCGCAATGACAAATTCATGGATCTCGAAATGTATTATTAGATTTATATATATATTCACTTTCTCTCTTTCTCTCTCTTTTGATCTAGTCCACTTAATTTTCTTCTTAATAAAATCAAATGTAATATTTGTTTATACTTCTGTAGCATTTATACAACATGGCAATAAAAAGATATATTTACGCTGTCATTATTTTTATACATATAAATCCAATTTATTAAAAGAATTTCGTTAAATTCTTTGCGATCTTGACTTCTAATAAAAATTGTAAATTCTACTGAATTCTTGATAATGTGTATAATATGAAGCACTGAGGAAACATAAATTTTATAAAACATAAATATCTTGCAATTTTCAGATCGGGAAAGATTTTAAAATAAGTAATAAGCGGAATCGATCAATTACAATCGAGAGAAGGTAAATTAAGTTAATAGAAAAAAAAAAAATTCAAATGTAATTGATAAATTCGTGTGCTGCTCAAATCTGATCTAGAACGCAAGGTGCAATGGTTCAGAGATGCAGACTGATTGTCATGGCAACAAATAAAATGGCAGTGTCCAGAGTACGCACGAGTCGCACGTCGGTGTAATATATGCGCGATTGTGTAATTTTGCGTCACAAAAAGCAAGCTATATATTTGGATTTATTCGTAATGTCGGAATGTATCGAATCGAGCTGCAGTCATTCTAGCAGAGATGCGTCGTGCGATATTAAACCGAGGCACGTGAGGCGCTTGAAATTCGGAAAATCGATCCTCAAGCTTGACGCCGCGGAGCAGGTTAGTTCCAATTCAAATCGCATCCTCGTGATTGATCAGAATGTGGCTCACATACCGTGCACGGAGAAGAGGGATTACGTGCGCATGTGGCTCGAGACTCAAGGGAACGACGTGATATCGAGCGACGATCTGTCCCAATCATCCCCCGTTCTTGGGACATCGGCCACTAAGACCTCCAAGAAATCGCCGGTACTCGCTGGTAGCAGGAAACGACCTAGAAAAAAGATCGGTATAAATAGACCCGCTACAGTGAAAAAGGTGGACAATTCCCAGGAGAACGCAGGGCACTCTGTAGACTGTAGACTGCAATCTAAACTAGATTATAAAAATGAAGAGAGAAACGAAAATCAACAGGAAGGTTTAAGCGAGACCCATTGCACACCACCTTGCGTAGAGAAGGTTGCTGATGAGATATCTCCTGTTCTTAATATACATTATAAGGAAAAGCGAAGAAAATTACAGCATGAACCAGAGGATGGCAATTTTCCAAAATGTTTAAAGTTTCACAATAATAAAGTCACAAGTACAAATATAAATCCAGTAATAGAACTTGATAATAATCATAGTATTCTGAGAGAGATATCTTTGGATTATGATAAGTTGGAAGAGAATGTTAAGACAGTTTCCTTCTTAAGTGAAGCAAAAAAAAGTTCAGTAGAATGTAGACAGGTATTTCTATCACTGACACACGATAGATTGAGCTTTGAAGACAGTTCAAGTAATAATACTGATAAGAAAATTCCAAATATAGAAATAGATACAAGTGATGATAGCAAAGATGACGAATGTAATGAACTTTCCAACACACAAAGCAGTAGCAACAATAATCTGAGCAATTTCATAGAGGAGGCTGATACACAAGAAACTGCAAAGACATCTCAGCTTTCGATACCAAATGAATCCTGGATTCCTTCGAGACAATCATTTACATTCTTACAATTAACTGCCAATGACTTGGACAAAACTAATTGTTCAGAAGCTGAAACGATACATAATGAAAATACACCACTGTCTGCAAAGATCTCTCAGATACCATCTTTTAAAACGACCCAAAAGACAGATAATAAGTCAATTCAAACCGATGCTATTATTAGCACAATAACTACTCCATCGAAGAAGTCTCCAGACAAAAGTATATATGCGCATCTTCTAGATTCTGGAAAAAAACGTCGCAGATTTAAAAAGTGAGTATAGAGAACATGCAGTTTACACAATAAACACGATTTCTATTATTATTGCATTCTTGTTTCAGAGGAAGCATGGTTGCAAAGCTGCAGTCTTTGATTAATACGCAAGTATCCAGCATTCGTATATGGCGTCATCGAATGAACAAGGAGCACAATGCTGCATCAGCACAGTTCATCAGCGTATTTGTACGCAACTGTACAAAACAATTTGGCAATCAATTTCTGGAAGGCACTTTGATCGAGGATTCTTTTAATCTCTTGCAATGTGACATAGAAATTGAAGAAGCGGAATCGCATAATGTTCAAGCACAACCAAAGAAACTTTTGCATAGGAGTATAACAATTATGCTAGTCTGTGATATTGTCGGTACATTAAAAATGATGTCGGAAGTAGTGATAAATGTCTATCCACCTTGGAACATTTTAGATAAGCTCAATCTTACCTTGGAAGCAACATACATAAGTATAAACGAAAATTGCGAAGTACCTGATATTAGAAATAAGGACAACTCGCATAAACGTAAGAAACGAATTGTCAAAGAGTTTAACTGCCCCTGCATAGAAGAAGGAAGAGAATTACCATTCTGTGCGAGAAAACCTAGCAGCGATAAACCTGATGTGATGCAACAAATATTTGATTTCTAATGGTATATTTCTTATATATTTGGAAAAGTATATGTTATATATCGAAGATAGTTCCGGTGTTTATAGAGCACAGTTAAGATGTTATAATAATTGTTTATATTTCTTAAACATATGGCTGTTATCTATAACTTTAAGTAGCCATATATGTGATAGTTTTGTTATACAATTATTATAGAGTTTCTCTATTTCTTAGTGATATAATATTGAATTGCAGTTGCAGTTTATTCATGTAGATCGCTGTTTGAATCAAATGTGTATTTTGTATATCCTGTGATATTTTTATAGTATATTAAAGAATAACAAGAGATCATTTTTATATTTGTAATATTACTGTGATGTAATATGAATTGACTATCTTCTTTCATATGTTCTTTTTTTAACACATGATCTGCGAAAAATAATACATTCACAAAATAAATTTATGTATTTAAGAATACGTTGTAAATAGAAATGAAATAAAATATTTTTGAACTGTTATATATATATTAATTCACAACAGATAAAGTCGATCGTTGCGATCTCATCGACCTTAGTTGGCTGCTTCTCACCAGAGATGGCTCTGATTTTGTATGATTCTCCTTTTGTGTTTTCCCCTTCGTGGAAAGCTGTTTGGTTATCATCAATTAGAGATTTGAGAACTTATTGTTTTTAACGTTTTAATATAATTTACATAATTTTTATCGTGAATAGACAAATAAAATTAACAACCTACTGCTGTCTATCATAAAAGTGAGTAATAAATTATGTTTCTTTGAAACACTGTTATTGTTGATGTGTCAAATGACTTGACATTTAAATACATCGAGTTACTAATACGTAGTTTAAATTTAATCTACAAATCGAGTGTTGACGAGACATTTGTTTTAGAAAAGTAATTGAAATTTCTACAGACAATGGGCAAGTGATTATTTTAATCTTTGTTGCTATTAGTCTAACCAAACTTTCTTACAGTTCTAGAATAATGTCGATAGCTCAGGATCGCCCTGAATTATATGAAGAAGTTAAGCTCTACAAAAATGCTCGGGAGAGAGAGAAGCACGACAATCAAGCGGATTTGTATGCTGTGGTAAATACATTGCAACATTTGGAAAAGGCTTACATCAGAGATTGCGTGACGCCAAAGGAATACACAGCGGCATGCAGCAAATTGTTAGTGCAATACAGAGCAGCATTTAAACAGGTCAGTATATAAAATATGAAGCAAGAGTTGAATATACTCTTGGATTTCTTAATATGTATATATAATGTTTATAAACATATCTTTTTACAAGAAAATTGATTGTAACACATTTAATATTTTATTATAGGTACAGAGCGATCAATTTCCAACAATTGATTCTTTTACCAGAGCATTCCGATTAGATTGTCCAGCTGCACTCGAGAGAATCAAAGAGGACAGACCAATCACGATAAAAGATGACAAAGGCAATACCTCCAAATGCATCGCAGACATTGTTTCATTGTTTATCACGCTTATGGATAAGCTACGATTGGAAATCAAAGCCATGGATCAATTACATCCAGATTTAAGAGATCTCATGGACACCATGAACCGTCTTAGTATACTACCAAGCGATTTTGACGGTAAAGAAAAAGTTGCAGAATGGTTACAGACTCTTGACAATATGTCCGCCTCGGATGAATTATCCGATACTCAAGTCAGACAATTGATATTTGATCTTGAGACATCCTATAATGCTTTCAATAAGATACTTCATAATTCGTAATTCTTTGAACATCTTTTGGCAAATTAATGTAATACCATCTATAATACAAATCTTGATATGCATATTAATTATACTTTAACATATTGGAATATATTAAAGCTATTATATTATTTGTTTATACTGTTCAATATTATTCATTAATTTAATCACGATATATTGATCAACGCATTGAGATTTTTATTATAGATAGCATTACTTTATTCAAAAGTATAATGTGTCTGTAGTATTTATAATGAAATTATTTTCTTGATAAGCGATGGCTTGCTGTCTCGCATCACTCATTTTGCATCGTTCCTTGAACTATATGCGGCTCGCAACATTTAAAAAATCCTTGCATAGATTTTGTCGCTAAGTGGAATTAGATATATGTATATATACAAATATAATAGCTGCACAGAGAATGAACTATTTTATATGTGATTCTTTGTAAACAGTGAATTGTTAAGCAATGCTTGCGTTATGTATATTATCGATTAAGTTAATAAAAATGCATAGAGTTTTAATAGACGATAAAAATATATAACATTTGTGAATATATGTTCTTTCGAAAGCGACTGTCCGTTAAATTTGCTTCATTCAGTTCGAGAATGTTATTGTCTTTTATCTCATGAGACCCGCGAAGAGCTTTTCATCAAGAGCCGGGTCGACAACCGTGTTTTATCAACCAAGATGCAGCCTTTCTAAACGCGCAATAATGACGTCACATTCAAAGCCGATATTTCGCTGGTTCTGTTTGCAGGTGGGATGGGATTGCGCGGGTGGGGAGGAGGGAGGAAGGGAGGATTGTTAATTCGCGCCGCTGTCCCTTTGATGTGCCAAGGACAGACTTTTCCGAGTCGTGTATTTACGCGGGCACACCCGGTATGCAAATGAAGAGGGTGGTCCTTCGGCGGCACTCGCCGGCATGCCGAGCGTCAGAGTACAATAACGGGCTGAGCTATTGACTAAACTAAACTAAATTAAACTGAGCTAAACTAACAGCCAGGTTGTATCCGCAGTCGTATCCCAATCCGCCTCGCATTCGTATCCGCGTGCATGTGCATTCCCTATCCTGTCGCCCATGTACACGCGTACTTGCAAGTCAGAAATTTACATGCAATATAGGAATGCTGTTGTTCGCTAGCGAAAAGTTTAGAGAGTCTAGATATTTAGAAAAAATATCTCTTAAAATTGATTTCATCATTGTATGGTCATCCAATAATATTTATACGCGATTAGAGCAAGATTCTAGTGCGTATGCCTGATTATTTTTCTTGACAACTTTTAAATACATATAAATGATTCGCAAAGAGAGATATCACATTTCAATTAAAATTTCACAATTGAAACTCAGTTCAATCATTTGTATTCATCTGAAAATTACGTGGGTAGAACTTTGAACTATCTTGTATATACGCACGCATGCATTTTATCTTCGCCAAGCTGGCTCCGATATCCGAGTCGAGTTTCTCCGAAATAAATCGAGCCATATCTTTAAATATGTCACTTCGAATCCACTTTAAATCCGTTTTCCGTTCGGCTCGATTGCGGCTTATCAATGCCAACTCTAAGACCTCGGGTCATCTTCCAATCGGTGATCTGAGAATTTCTTCAATACGCTCCGAGAACGTTTTGAAGAAAACGAGAGATTTTCATCCAACTTCCAAATAAGGATGATCCTCTCAAGGCAATTCTCGAGCTATTCCAGCAAGCTTGAACATTGCCAAGCCACTCTTTCGCGGAGAGAGATATATATCCTTCATCGTATACATCCTGGTGATAAAACATACACATGCGCGCACGCAGATACACACGTGCCAAACGCACACTCGCACGCCAGCTTATCCGTCAATCTATTCGTTTACCTGACGGTGTTATTTCAATATAAATCACTCGGTCCCGCGCTAGAGCGAATATGCTTGCCTTTGACAGGGTGATTTTACCCTCTTTCACTTTTGCCTTCGTATAAAAATTCAGATTTCGCAGAGCGATTCGGCAGCTGTGGAAAATCAAAGACCGCGATATATAGGTACAATCTCTCAGCTGTGCATCTGTCACTGTCTGCGCGCATGCATTCACGTGTACGATCGCAAAAATGGATTTATCATCGTTGTCGTCAGTTATCGCCGTGCATCTGAAAAACGCGTGTAATTATCGCGTGACTATGCATACTGCAAGACTTTCGACAAAAAGAGATGACAACGGAGTTTGCGAACCGTTTTTTACATTATGATATGTATGTGTGTGTGTGTGTGTGTGTGTGTGTGTGTATGTGTGTATAACTGTTATTAATTATTGTGTGAAGTTACCACTCGGAGCATATCTATTCGTCGTTGCTAAAAGTGCATTCACGTGTACGATCGCAAAAATGGATTTATCATCGTTGTCGTCAGTTATCGCCGTGCATCTGAAAAACGCGTGTAATTATCGCGTGACTTGCAAGACTGCAAGACTTTCGACAAAAAGAGATGACAACGGAGTTTGCGAACCGTTTTTTACATTATGATATGTATGTGTGTGTGTGTGTGTGTGTGTGTGTGTGTGTGTGTGTGTGTGTATGTGTGTATAACTGTTATTAATTATTGTGTGAAGTTACCACTCGGAGCATATCTATTCGTCGCTATCAAGTTGCTAAAAGATGTAATTTTGCTTACATCTTATATTTTATTGTGTTTTTCTCCTCGAAAAGCATGAATCATGATAAAAGCATAAAGCGATATATTTCTAGCAATCGGGGTAAATATGGTACAGCATCGCGCGTGTAACGTCGCACAAAAGTACTCGAAACACGCTCTCTCATACAGAGGAAAGAAAATCTTCAAGAGGGCTAGAATATACTTTTCATGCTCTTCCATGTCGAATGACGGGGGCATTCAACACGGGATTATCTGCAGACGTCCGACGTTATCTGTAGAAAGCAGCACGCGCGCGTCTCTCTCTTCTGAACGACAATGATCTTGACAAAAGAGCGTACCGAGGAAAGCTTCTAGTTACGTGCATTCACTATGATGGGATCGTATTGTCGCTTGAATTACACGCTTCAAACACGAGCAATATTTGCTTAAGCGTTGACTATGTCGTGTTGTTGCATTCGAACAGAAGATAGAAGTTCTGTTATTCTATCTTCTTTTTTGTGAGATTTTTGTAGCGTAATAATACGAGTATATAAATGTTTTCTTCGTTTTTTTTTTTTTTTAGAGAAAAGAGAAAAAATATAGACTTATCAATTAGAGAAAGAAATAGTTCTGAAACAACATAGATTAAGCTATTTATGATTATTGTGATTTGAAATATTTTTTATCTGTCATCTATATGAGAATTGACTTTCATGTGCAAATTTCGACCAACTTGGAATTAGAGTATTTTCTATTTGTTGTAAGATTCTTCCATTATTCATTGTAAGATTTTACAATATATATGACTTTAAATAATTTTGGAATATATTTTTAAAGTACAGTCAAAAAGGTTTGATTTTTAACTTCGTTTACATTTTTGAGAAGCTTTATTCTCGATAAATCTTTTATTTTCAATAAAAGATAGCTTCTCTCTTAGTCCCTTGACATTAAGGAAAAGTTGGCTTGATGTTTGGCTTTGAAAAAATCCGTAGATAAAAAGGCTTGTTGGTTTTCTTTTTGGTGGAATACCCCGTGTATAATATGCATTAATATATATAACACCGGTCGAGCGTAAGATAAGCGCACGCGGTGCGCGTACGTGTCTCCCTTGGCTTCGTGTCGCTTGAAAGGCATATCACACATTGAGAGGACGTGAGTCGCTTTGAAAAATCGTGTCCGATATGCCAGCGGAACGAAGAAAAAGGGATGGCACGTGAGAGGGCTGGAAGGGAAAGGCAATGCCCGGCTTCTTCTCGCACGCCGCCGATTGTCTACGATGGCGATGGTGCACCTGGGTTCTCTCAAATATGCGGCTAGCAATGTATGTGTATATATATATATA